GGGGAGGTGGCGGGCGGGGGCTGCCGGGGCGTGGGCGAGGGACGGCCTCACAGTCAGGGCGGGCAGAGGCGGAGGCTGAGGCCTTGGAGTGGAGACTAGGTGAGGGGCCGACGGCAAGGTCGGTCCAGAACAGCCCGGACACCGGCGTGCGGCGAGGGTGAGACCCCCAGCGCAGTCCCTTTCCCCTCCCCGAAACTCCCAGAAGCCAGATTAGGAACCACATTGTGTTCCCGCAGAGGAGTCCTGCCAAGTCCTAGAACTTTGGGGATCTGCCGAGAGATCATGCACTTGGGACCGGGTACTCCCCCTTCTTCCTCCCACTGTCCCGGGAAACCTCATCCCACCACCTCCCAGGGCCCTGGGGCCTTTCGGATTCTGCTCTTCAGGGCAGGGGTGGGTTGGGGAGGTCGAGCTCTTGACCCTGCTTGCACCTATGTGGAGGTAGGAGAGGGGATTCAACATTCTCCCTTATCCGAGGAGGAGGGGGAGGGGAATTATGGAAGGATTCCAACTTATTAGTGTGGTGGGTTTCCGTTCTAGGTGGAGGTGGAACTTGGCCGTCCTGGGGCCGGGGGAGATAGAAGGGTAAGGAGTGAAGGCTGATTTCTGATCGTTGTTTTCGTGTGGGACAATTCCGTGCAAACCTGAGCTAACCTGGAAGAGAATGCAAGTCCCCTTCTGGGACCCCAGAGGCCCTCTCCTTTCTTACTGCCAGGGACAGAGACAGTACTGTTAAGGGAAGTGGCTCCTCCTGGCCCTGGGTGTGAACTGCCCATCCTGGCCACCTTCCACAGGAAACCTGAGGGACAGAGGAGGAAGGAAGCAGGTGGGTGTGGAGCCAGGAAGGAGGGAAGGGTGGCACAGGACATATGAAGGGGGGCGGGGAGTGAGGAGGGTTCAGGGCTGGGAGACAATATAATGTGTGGTTCAAAACTTGGCCCCAACCCCAAAGCTGGGTCTTCTGGTGCCCAGGGTCTTGATAGTGGCCTTCCTATGCCCAGCTACTGGCAGAATCCCTCCCAGCCCTAAGGCCACCTCTTCCTACAGCTTCCTTTAGCCTTCTAGTGTGATCAAGGGCAAGTTAATGAACCTCAGTTTGTTTCAGCTGTCAAATGGGATAATAGAAACTACCTCACCCATTGGGAGGCCAAAGTGAGCGGATTGCCTGAGCCCGTGGGTTTGAGACCAGCCCGGGCAACTTGGCAAGCCCTCGTCTCTACAATAAAATTATAACTTAGCTGGGCGTGGGAGTGCGCACTTGTAGTTCCGGCTGCTTGGAAGGCTGAGGCAGAAGGATCACCGGAGCCCAGTCGGTCGACTCTGGGGTGGTCGTGAGTGTGCCACTGCACTCCAGCCTGGGCAACGGAGTGAGATGCCAACCCAAAAAACAACAACAAAAAAGAAACTACCTCATAGGATTATTGTGAGGATGGACTATATTATATACCATTCTAGAATAGTTTAGAGTAAACATTGTAGAACAGTTTGCTCCAGTTATTTTTTTCCCTCAGGGTGTGTTTATCTGCCCAGCACTCTGGTCCCATTCTACCTGGTTTCATCTCTGCCTTACCCACTAGACTATGAGCTCCTTGAGAGCAGGACCCATCTCTTCTCTACATCAGCAGTCACTCTTTATCCCCAAGATACTGCAGTCATTGCAGGACTCGCTGAGAGGAAGGCTGAAGAGATGCAGTTAGATTATTCAATAAAATGGTGCTATAGATAGAAGTGTAAGATTTTCTTCTGTCCTTGAGGAATTTATAGACTAGATGAGGAGTTTAGAGAGATGCAGACAGCAAAGAGAGAAAAATTAGATGCTAAATCTTGGGGCCCCAAATGTGCTTACTTCCAGTGGTCCTTTAACAGGTCCAGCTGGAAAAACTGGGTCCTTATAGGGGGTTGTGAGGCAGCAAAACTCACTGGGGCCTTGGGGGCATGATAAGGACTGGGGGGAGTTAAGGCTGGTGAGGTGAGGTGGAAGGGCTGGCCTGCCCAAGGACCCACCAGAAAGACAAGTGCCTTCTCCATTCACGTCATCTTATCTCCATCCCAATCTGGGGAGACCCCAGAGTTTGAATTCAGAAATACTAGAGCCAAAAGGCATGGCCTCAAGACCTGCCTCTGCCACTTACTGGCTTTAACCTTGGGCATAACATTAATGCTCACTGATCCTCAGTTTGGCCATCTGTAAAATGGGGACAGTGCCACGTAAGTCACCTGGGTGTTGGGAGGATTGGGTGAGATGAGGTAAATCACTTAGCACTGCCCAGAACATTGTAAGAGCCCCATAAATGGAGGTGTCCTTATTGTTTAGGGGGTAGACTTTGCCACTAATGACCATGCTGAACTCTGGCTGGTGCCACGGAGAGGACAGCCCCATCCCCAGAGAGCCAGGCTTACCAGCCAACTCAGATGGTGACTCGAGCCACCTGCCAGGAGAGGACCCTGAGGATACCGCTGCTCAGGTAGTAAGAGTCCTGTCCTTCCTCTGAGACCAACATGCCCTCTGTCCTTTGGATCTCTTTCCTTTCCACTAGCCGGTGAGTTTGCCTCAGTGCCTACCTCTTGTGACCCTTGTACCCCCTTAAGACAGGGGTCCCCAGCCCCCCTTCCCCTAGTCACAGACCTACCAGCTACCAGACCATGGCCTCTTAGGAACCGGGCCACACAGCAGGAGGTGAGTGGCAGGCAAGCAGAGCTCCACCTTCTTTCAGATCAGCAGTGGCATTAGGTTCTCAAAGGAAAGGGAACTCCACTGTGAACTGCACATGTGAGGGATCTAGGTTCCAGGGTCCTTATGAGAATCTAATGCCTGATGATCTGAGATGGAGCTGAGGCCGTGATGCTCGCACTGGGGAGTGGCTGCAGATACAGATTAACATTAGCAGTGAAGTTTGACTACATGTTCCCCCGCCCCCACCCCTCACGTCCATGGAAAAATCGTCTTCCATGGAGCCTGTCCCTGATGCCAAAAAGATTGGAGACTGCTGCCTTAGGACATGAGGTTTTGACTTTAAACTCACTCTCATGAATATTCATGACCTCTCCTGGGGAAGGGTCTATGTTGTCAAAGCAGATCCTAGGGGCCTTGGCCCCATGAATGAAGGGGGTGCTTTCAAGTCTAAGAAGGGAAGCTGTTTTGGGGTGTGGGGCCTCCCCACCCTCCCTCAAGGAAAGACCACAGATGCAGGAGTGGATCAGCTGCACTGGGCTCAGTGTGGATCTGGAAGGAGGAACCTCCAGATGGAGGGGCATGCTCAGAAATTGCTCTAAATGGGAAGAAAGGTGTCAGTGAGGAGGGGGAGACCAGGGAACAGAAAGGAGGAACCTAACTCCACTCCTTCCCTTCTGCCTTGTCTCCTCAGGGTCCTGCTGCTCCAAGCTTGGGTCCCCCTTGCGAGGACATCAGTCAAGCCCCCAACGGGCCTGGGTTGCCTACTCTTCTGCAGCAGCTCCCTCCACAGGACAGTGATGTGGGTCTCCCTTCCCCCATCTTCCCTCTCACTTGCTTCCCTCCCCCACCCCTTTACTTGGTGGACAGAAGCTTGGTCCAGAAGTCAGGGAAATGGATTTAAGGTCCAGCTATGCCACAGGTTGGGGGAAGGCACCCCCGACCTGAGTTTTACCTAATGGGTGCAATAACATCAGCTTTATCCACCACAATGCTTAGTTCAAGAGGAGGTGGGAAAATGGACATGAACGACTTTGGGAACTGACTGTGGAATGTACAAATGTAGAGTATGATTGTTAAGAATTTATTGAGGACCTACATGTGCCTAAAGGCTTACAATTCACCTGGGGAACAAGCCAGGAGTATATGAACTAGAGAAGACACAACAATGGGAAGTGCTGCTGAGCTCTAGCTGAGAGCAAGGACCTAATATGTGGTGACGGGGCTAAGAAATAAGGGACTCTCAGGCCCTAAGTGATGACCACTTCTGGGGGGTGGGGTGAGACTGAGGTAGACTTTCTTCCATTCTTTTTTTTTTTTGAATTGGAGTTTCACTCTGTCACCCAGGCTGGAATGCAGTGGCCGCTGGCAGCCACCGCAGCCTCGACCTGCTGGGCTCCGGCGATCCTTCCGCCTCAGCCTTCCCAGTAGCCGGAATTACAGGTGCGCGATACCATGCCCGGCTGATTTTTTTGTTTGTTTAATTATAGAGATGAAGTCTCGCCAAGTTGCCCAGGCGGGTCTCGAATCCGCGGGCTCAGGCAATCCACTCACCTCAGCCTCCCAAAGCGTGGGATCACAGGCTGAGCCACCGAGCCCGGCCTCTTCCATTCTTTCCCTCTACTTCTCAGCACCCTTCTATGCTTTATCTCCTGCACCTCCCTGAATTCCTACAGCTTTCTCTGGCCCAGCAGCCAAGCCTTCTTTCTTTGCTCAAACCTCAGTCTTTCCTGCTGGGCCTCTCCCAGTCATTGTGGAGGCCTGTTTCTGTAGGAGCGCTACTGCCTGGCCCTTGGGGAGGAGGAGCTGGCCGAGCTGCGGCTCTTCTGTGCCCAGCGGAAGCAGGAGGCCCTGGGGCAGGGGGTGACCCGCCTGGTACCTCCCAAACTTGAAGGATACACCTGTGAGAAGGTACGTAGTTCCCTTCCCCCCCCCAAATTCCCCCTCTTCCTCCAGTCTTTGCCGCTCACTTCTGCAGAAGAGGAGCACTTTTGGGACTCTGGTTGGGACACAGGGTTTGGGGACTGGTAATTTTGCAAACGCTAGGAAAAAGGGAAACTAAGTCTGGAAGCTTCTGGTGTACCCTGCAGTGGGTGTGGGCTTGCTTGGGTAAGGGGAGAACAGGTTGGGGTTGGAATGGAAGAGCCTGGAGGGAAGTTGGGAGTGTGGTGCCGACTCTAACCGGCCCAGCGCCCCCGCCCGGCAGTGCAGGGAGCGGCTGAAGCCAGGGGAATACGGAGTGTTCGCAGCCAGGGCAGGGGAGCGGCGCTGCTGGCACCAGCCTTGCTTTGCCTGCCAGGCCTGTGGCCAGGCCCTGATAAACCTCATCTACTTCTACCACGATGGGCGTCTCTACTGCGGCCGTCATCACGCCGAGTTGCTGCGGCCGCGCTGCCCGGCTTGTGACCAGGTACAGCCCTAAGGGGAGAGGCTGCGGGGGGTGGGGGGCTGCCCACGGTCCAGAGTGGCAGGATGTGAGGGGACACCATCCTGGGCCCCAGCCTCTCCCAGTAGCGGGGAGTGGGGGAGAACTGGGACTGCCCTGTGCCCGTGTTCTGACTTGAGCTCTGGGCATGTGGGACCCGCTGCCTTTCTCTGTGCCCAGCCCCACCAGAAGCCGTCTCAGACTTGGAGAATTTCTCTACAGCGGGGACTCTTGGACAGATGTTCATCTCGGTATATGCCAAGAGCCCAGTGCTGTGCTTGTTCATGCTAGAAATTCCCTTAATGTCAGCAAAAGAGGCAGCGCAGAGCCCTGGGTTGGGAGTCCAGGCGGCCCAGGTTGTGCTTCCGGCTGTGCCACCTGCTACTAGGGGATCCTGGCTAAGCCAATCAGCCCTCCCTGCGTCCAAGAGTGGCTGGGTAGATCAAATGGGAATGTCTGTAGACGTGGTTTAGCGTTAACTGGGTATAAGGCATGATTATTAGATGGATGCATGAATGAATGGATGGATGGATGAACGAACCGTTCCCCTCTCCTCTCCCAGCTGATCTTCTCCCGGCGCTGCACCGAGGCGGAGGGACGGCACTGGCATGAGAACCACTTCTGTTGCCAGGACTGCGCTGGGCCCCTGGGCGGGGGACGCTACGCCCTGCCGGGGGGCAGCCCCTGCTGCCCCAGCTGCTTCGAGAGCCGTTACTCGGATGCAGGCTCGAGCTCGGCCGGGGCACTGGAAGGGCGGACGTCCCTTGGCAAGGGAGAAGGTGCAGCTCAAAGCCGGCGGGGGCGGTGGCTTGGGCGGGGCTCAGGAGGGGGTTCTGCCGGGTTGGGACCCTCGCCCCGGTGTCACGCTGTCCCGTCCCTCCAGCAACGCCCCGTCCCCCCACCGCACCCCCCGACCCGAG